CTCACTGCCAGGACTCCCTTACCACCTTACACTTTCATGCTCACGTCATGTAGGAAGTGGATTTGCAGTTTTGGTTAAACATATGCACATCCACAGCTATACTATTTAGAAAAGAATAGAACAGTTCAGTAGGAAGGGACTTTCAATGATCATCTAGTCCAACTTGTCAACAGGTGTAGCTTTCTCCCTACTGCATCATTTATCCTGAAAAAATAATTTGATCTCGACAGCAATTCTTGCTTGTAGGTCTGAGCAGATTGTAGCTTGTCAGTCATGGGAAATATGAGCATTTTATGTATCTTACATACAAACCTTCCTTAAACCCTACTGAGGAGTAATAATGTCAAGCTAGAGGTCTCAAAATCCACCTTCAACTCAACTTTCCGGAGTTGTACCAGATTGCTGGGTTAGTACTGCTGAACTGATAAGCAGTTTTTCCACTTCTTTGATAACCATTAGGCAGCTTTGCTGGAAGGATAATAACACTACAAATAGGTTACCTCTACTGTTTTCTGACTGTGGTTGGTGCCCATTCCATTGATATGGTTTACCTGAAAGCAGTGGTTATCTGCTCCAATTTGAAACAGTGAGACAATGGCAATTTCTAAGTCCTTGTACACTGCTTATGGTATGTAACGTTCAAACAGGGCTAGTCTGTTTGGTAGCAAATTAATTTATTCTCTTTGTAGCACCAATGAATCCCCTTAAGTGGCATTCGCATTCCTGTGTGCCACTGCCGTATCTTTGCATCAGGGAATAACCTGAGCTCTGCAAACTGTATTTTTTGGTTTCAACTCACAGTAATGTCATAATGTTGCAACAGTATGTTCTCTCAGGTCCTCTGTGCTTCATCAGCACAGAGGTATCAGAAAAAAAAAAAATTACTGTCAGACCAGCTTCCACTGGCCCAAGCATGTATATGACTTCACACTCAGCCCATTTTCCTGTGTCCCATTTTCACCACTGCAGCCAGAAGTCTTTCCTTTGCTTGCTCTGTATCCTTTGCCTCCTACTTACAAATCTGTTCACAGAAATGCTGACGTATTTTTCATTGTAGTTTCATGCTTTCTGTGTGCTAGAGGGTAAATTATCTCCATGTCTGTTCCACTTATAATCACATTTAGACGTGAACTTACTTATTAGCAATGTACATGAGTGCCGCTCTTATGCAGCTACTGCAGACCCTCTGAGCATTCGCATTTCAGCTCTTTCAGTTTTTCATCCCATTTATTGATCTAGAATGCACTTTTTACTCTTTAATATTTTATGACTTGTAGCTAGTCTTTTTGCACAGTTAAGAAGATGATCTCTTATTTCTTCAGGTTTCTGATTACAATTTTAGTAAAAGATATATTTTACAGGCTGAAAATGCTTTCAGAGCTCCCAGCATTTTAGATCTCTGTGGTCTGCTGGTGTCAAATGAAAGTGCAGCTTTTACCTGGCTAACAGGGGGGTTACTGCTATCCTTTTTTTAAATCCAGGTTCTTTGCAATTTTCCCATTGAAGATATGGAGGTGCAAAAGAGAACCATTCCCCCAGCCTCTTTTTCCCTCACCTGACTTGCATTTGGGATCCGAGATGCCAGGTTGATTCATGTTCTTTTTCACTCGGTTTGTTTGCTTTGCATCTCTCCTGGTTTACACTGTCCTGTCCAGCCAACTCACTTCTGGTCCCTTGCACAGTATTCAAGAACAAGAGGAGTGCACTCCGTTGGGGCATCACCTAGGTTCTGCATGTCGTCTTCTTCCACTTCTCTACTTTTCCACTCGTCTGTCTCCAAGCACATCCTCAACTTTTTATATTCCCCGACAAGTTGCTGTAAACAGGGATACTATCTACTATAATACTAAGCTGTGGTAGGCAGTTTCTAGCCCAAGAACTACACCACTGAGATAAAAGTATAATAATGAAGAAAATCAAAGAGAGAAACAATCAGTCACCAAGGAGGCTACTGGTGAATCACAAGAGGGGCCAGAAATTAGGAACAGTTGGAAGGCAACAGAGGAGGTGAGCTTAGCACAGATGCAAAGAAACCTTGGCATGAAGTCTATGCTTCAGAGGGGGATGCTGGAGAAAATGCAACCGTGCCAGACCACAGGCAGAGAGACAACTGGGGAGGGAAAAGAGGATGATGCCATGAGAGATGCCAGCTGCAGCACACGGGGAAGCCAACAACAGATGGATGTGTTCAAATGGACATGATAGGCAGCAAATGGCAAAGCCACCTAAGCTCCTTTATGCCAGCTCCTGTAGGCAGTGACCTCCGGTTGGGGGTTTGCCTTTGATGCAAGTGCACATCTTCACAAGTAGGAATGGGTTCTTGTGCTTGCACACAAGCAGAGCACAGGGATGCTGCATCAACGACCTGATGACAGTGCACACATATGAGTAAGATTTTCACAAATGTACAGAGCAAATTATTGCTTTGCATTTATCTCATCCATCTTTTCTTCCCCAAGTAACCTTTCCCTTTCCTCAGCCTGCTTCCAGCTGCAGTAAGTTCTGTGTCTTGAAGCAGGTCTGTAAAACAACTAATTTGTTACCAAAATTATTTGCCCTGCACTGAAAGTAAAATTATTCTGCCAACCCTTGCATATAACAGACACAAAAATTAAAGACATTAAAGGCATAACCCATGAAGCGCTGTAGACACCATCCACCTTCCTGGAGGTCAAAATGTCATTTCATGGACTATAAAGGTAACCACAGGAGCTAAATTAAGCTTCGGAATGGGGCACACAAGTCATTAGTAGCTGTTCTTTCCCCCTCCACTTCCCTCCTTTCTCAGACTCAAGGGAGCCTGCTTCTTGTTTCTTCAGACAAGCCACCCACTCACAGGATATTCAACCAGAGAATTTCCATTGTGCACTCTTGGCAGCTTGGTGTTCACTGCGGTGGATGACCTGACCCACCAGCTCGCCTCACCACAGCATCCACAACACAAGCCAGGCTTCAGTTCCTGGGTTATTTCAGCAGCAGCAGAGAAGTGAGCCGAGTCCTGCCTTTCTGGGGCTGCTTTGTCCAAACCTCACACCATGGGAGTTGGTTAAACGCTTCCAGCCACTCCAGGTGCCCAGGCAGAGCATGTTGTGTGCTGTCTGCTGTGGATGGGATGCTTATGCAAAGGGTTGGTATTTTAAACAACTAATTTTTTGGACTCCAGGCAGCATCTTTTTATTGTAAGGCTGACACCACGTGATTTTCTGAAAAGACCACAGAGCCTTGCGGACAGGTTTGATGTAGAAATGGAAGTATGCATGACTGGAAAGTCTGCATTATCATACAGCCAGTGTTCATTGGCAGCTTTCAAGCAGAACCACAAGCACTGGATGGTGGGACGTGTATTTAAGTGCATAGCTCAGATGAATTAAATCTAACAATATCTATGTGAGGAAGGGCTAACTTTGCTAAAACTCTCAGCTACCCAAGAGTTCTCCTGGCCCCTGTGTAGGCTGACACAAAACCAATATGTGCTCCAGGACTCAAGAGTAAAATAGGATCCTCTGGAAGCAATTCCAGACTGCTGTGGATGTGTGGTTTATCAGCATCATGTGTAATGGCCACAAGCATGTAATACTCTCCCACAAAAACCCACCCAAAACCCCCAGCTACAGTGTAAAATGCATGTGTTGAGGTAAAGACTCAGGGATAAAAAACAAGGACTGAGTTAAAGCCTTGTGGCACTAATGGCACTGTGCTGGTGAGAGCTCCCAGAGCAATTGCTTCAGACATCAAGAAGGAAAGCAGAGGATGAATGGAGGTAAGAGGAAACTGCCAAATTGGGAATAGATCAAGGTGGAAGAGTGCACCTTGTTAAATGTCACTGTGCTGTTCAGGTTCACATTCAAACTTCCAATACGGTGAATAGTCATGTTCATGTTTGTTTTCATACCAGACTCTAATTCATCCCCCCTTCTTCTTCTTTTTGATTATTCATCTCATCTTATTTAGGTCAATAGACTTCCTGATTTACTAAAAGTCGTGATTTCCAAGTCAGTTTAGCCTAAATTACCTTCAGCACCTCAGAAATGTATTACACTTTTACAGAGTTCTACCTCTAAATTCACTATCTTACATTTACTTGAGCTTTCTGAAACCATTCAATCTTTTTCAGCTGCACAGCCTAAAACTCTCAGAATTGCTCCTGCAGATGCTGGAGATCCCAGAACCTGCTGCAAGCTCTCGGTCTGGTGGCTCAAGTCTTAAGACGAGATATTTTGAGAAAGGAATCACACTTGTATGGGATCAGCAAATCTGAGCCATATACCTAGGAAAAGCTTAACTCCTTCCTTTGATACTGCTTCTCACTATCATAGCAACAAGCAAATCAGATAAAGTTAACAACAAACGAAAAAGCAGGACTGGCCTTTAGCCATGTTACTGCTCCACCTGCTTACAGACCAGCCAAGCTGTCAGTGCTCCAGCTGTACTGCATAGCTCAATATTAAAATTTAGCATCACTTCATTGCTATTTCACTAAACAAGAGAATGGTTATTGCCTGATCTTGCTTATAGCAAAACAACAGAAATGTCAGTAGAGAAGGACTGGGTTGCCAGATTTTAATTTCACTGGAATGGCTGGACTTGAGCAGCACTCAGGTTGAACAGAGAAATTGTGATGGGTAGGCAGAAACAGAGCTTTCTTCCCCTGTTATGCAGCAAATATAGATGAGGTGTTTACAGCACAGTACAGATTCTTGTGGACCAGGGCTTTTTACTTCAGAAATAATTTTAAATTGAAACCATGGCTTCTCTTTTATCTGGATTTTTGACCCATTTAATGGAGGTCTCATGTGTTCCTTGGCTCAGAAATGCACTGAGCTGGCAGACAGGGCAGAAGCATGAGTTTGAGCCCCAAGTTGTGCTGACTACTTATCCTCATCAATCTAGCTTTAAAAATGCATTTCATTGTTCAGACTGGGTATCAACAAAAGCCAAATATCACAGCACTTAGAGAATCATAGGATAGTTTGGATTGGAAGGGACCTTTAAAGATCACCTAGTCCAACCTTTCTGCAGTGAACAGGGACACCTTCCACTAGACCAGGTTGCTCAAAGCCCCATCCAGCCTGACCTTGAACACTTCCAATAATGGGGCAGTCACCACTCCTCTGGGCAACCTGTTCCAGTGTCTCACCACCCTCATAATAAAAAAAAATCTTCCTTATACCAAATCTACTTGATAACTGACTGTGCTTTTGGTGGTAGACACTAGTCACATGGACGAGGCTGAGATAGTGGGGAGTATCGTGACATCTCCGGTGTACATAGACACCCCAGGCTGAGCAGCTGCATTGTCTCCTTGTGCACTGATTGTGCACTTCTGCCACCACACATCGCATTTAGAGTGGTCACTGCTAAAGCTGAAGCTGTTGTGCTTTGGGTGATCAGAGCACACAGCAAAAACAGTGATAATTACCAGCAGGAGGGTAGCCAGACAATAGGCCAAGGCACGGGGGAAATACATAGCAGAAAACGTTTTAGGAAGGCTCTTGGAAAGATGAGCATTTTCTTTCCTTTGTATATACTGAATAGAAGATGCTTTAAACAAAGCACAGATTTCGCATGTCTGCTGAAATAAGTCACCAAAGAGCTGCCTGAAAACAGCAGTGAAACAAGATTGCAGCTTTTAAGACAATATCAACTGATGCAGTTGCTCTGATCGTCTGTTCTCATGCCAAAAGTGCTCATGTCACACTTGTAGAGATGCGTGTGAATGTGACACCCCTGAACTGACTTTAATCCTGCTGTGGTCCACAGTTGGTTTCATTTTCTCATGAAACTAGAAATCTATTTCACCACTTTCAAAGCATGAACTGTATTACTTGCCATGGCTTTGCATTTTCTAAATAGAGTCCCTGTGGAAAGATATTTGCAGTAAATAAAAATGCTCTTTATGGGCAGTTAGCTTAGGTATCTAATATTTCAGTAATCTCAGTGCAGACAGAGATTGGCCCAGAGGAAGTCTTGAACTTGCCAGAAAACCTCCACCTGGATGATGCCTGTGCACAGTGGCTTCTCCTAGTGCCTCACTGACAGGAGATGGAGAATCTTTCCCTCAAGTAGCCAAAAGTGGTGGCTGCTTATCTCGCCTCTCAGATGGGCTGAGCAGGGAACCACAGCAGAATAAGTTCACAGACAGGCTTCGAAGCCTACATGGGGGCTTCAGATTACATTTCACCACACTCCGTAACTTCTTCATGTGGTTTTCATGCAAAACATGGGAGAATCTTTACACACAAGAGAAGCATAGGAGTACTGGTGTAAAACATACGCCACACAATGGGTTCATGCCAAAATCTCATCTCATGTAGGGCTTCCTGCCACAGCCTCTCTCCTAGAGACCACAAACACTTCTCTGGTTAAGACGAACGAGATCGACGAAGAAAGACTTAATTATAACCTACATTTCCACAAAGGAACAGAGGACATTTGCAAGCAAAAATAGTGTTTTTGCAGAGACATGACTAGGAAGAGGACATATTTGAATGGGAATTATGGAAAAAA